AATGGAAGATCGTCGCACTTTACAAAGAACCCCAAAACCCCAAAACCCCATGATTCAGAAGTAATCAGAAGTTTCAAAGTAAAATTAATTTAAAAATGAAAGCTTAGCCGAAGTCCTCAGTAAATAAAGCATCGTTAATAATAATTAATAGATCGAAAATTCAAGTCAATCTAGCAAGTAAAGTTCACTTCAACCTGAAAATCAATTTATAAATGCACAAAAATCAACCTCTACTATCGGTATTCCCTTAATTCAAAGATTAAACTTAAAATTTATAGACCAACTGAAATAACTGATGTTAAGACAAAAATGATACTTATCAAAGTCATACAAGATCATTGAAGATGTGAGATTTTGCTTCAATCTTAAAAATATATTTAGAATAAGCTATCGATTCTCCAAAATACTTCCTGGGGTGAGACATATTAACAATAATACAGACAACTAAAAAAATAAAAGGAACACAAAGAAGAATAGTACAACAAAGCTCATAAGCAATATGAGGAATTGACCATTATGTGCGAGTAAAAGCTGTTGGAATTTACAGAAGAGCATTCCTAAAACATAATTTAAATAGATAATCCTTGCGATTTGCTAGTAGATTTTGGAAAATGCATCCTAAATATGCTTCACTATAGAATACTTTCCTGGAATCAATTTAAGGTATGTAATTTTATTTATTAAGAATGAGATGTTTACATTTCAGAATTACAATACAAACCTTTTATTGATAAACTAAAATTGACATACTTTGTATAGCTTGTCATTAAAAGATATCAAATTCTCATTTAAGAGCTTAAATTCTATAACTCAGATTTGCTAGATGAAGACATCTAAAATCAGCTGCATGAATTCAAAAGTAAATACAAGCTAAGCAACTGTAATACTTTAAAATATTTACCTATACAATTTAGAAAATAAAAACTTTGAAAACCTAAACTAGGAAACTGGTAATTTGCTGATATGGATGTACTTAAAATAAAGCAGCAAAGAACTGTATGATCAAATGCAAGACCTGGAATTTTCAATTATTCAACTTAACAGAGAGAAGGGAAAGTACTATGAGCAGATTTAGCAGAGTCAGGAGACATCAAGAATCAAAGCAGAATAAAATTAATTGCTCTATGAAGTAATCCGCTAAGTTGAGGAGAATATCCTTAAGTTGCAATAAATGATAAACAAGCCTAAGTCTGATAGCCCTGAGAAACTTAAAGTCGATGTTCAATAAACTTCTCGGGATTGTGATAAAGCTATTAATTTTGCCAAGAACCAAATAAAAAAGATTAGATCTGAAAACAGAATGAATAGAGTTGAAAAATCTGCGATTGCTCTCAACATTAGTTAGCTCAACCTCTCAAGGACTCTTAGAAACTAAGATGATAGTCACCTTCTATCTAAGAGTATGCAAGCAGATCTGAAAACATTAAACCTCAAAAAAACGTTTTCTTTTTTGCAAAATTTAGACTACAATGATGATGAGGCAGATATTACTACTTATAATAACATGCCAGTAATAGGAGAAAATAGGCCAAGGAATAACCATGGCTTTGGTTTTGTAAATCACGAAGATGACATTTTTGAAATGAATGACAAGAGTAATATGATTATTCGAATGAATAAGCTTGATGATGAGAATGATGAAGAGAGAAAAACATAAAGAGTTAATGACCAATTAATAATGGATCTCTCAATGTCAAGCCTTAATAATGTCTAACTATTTATTAATGATGACAAGGATTAGTATTAGACCAAGAAAGGTAAAGATAATACTCTGAAAAAGATCAATCTTAATAATCAAGTTACAGTAGAGAAAAGTGAAAATACACCAATGGGTGGTACATCTACTAACCCAGGAGAAACAAGAGGTAAACCTCTAAAACCGATGATGAAGAAGAGGGGAGGAGGATGCTTCGGCTAATCAAAAAATAAAAACAATTAATAAGAGGAACGTATGAAATTGAATGAAGATCAAGAAAAGAAGTTCAAGAAAAAGAAATCATAGTGCTGTATGTCTCAGGCTCTGTAAATAAGCTGTTTATTTAGATTATGAATTAGTTAACTAGTAATTTTAAGTATCAGTACTTTTATATTCAAAATTAAGATAAATTCCATAGATCAATCAAACTGCTTGTCATTCCAGACATTCCAATCATTGGTTCTCCAAATTTCTAAGTGAATATGATCTTTGTAAGACCCACATATTCTATCCCTATCATGAAGTCTGCTACATATTTAATTAGAAGCAAGCTATTTTTAATTTTCAATTTGTTATGCTTTGCCATCTTTTCTAAATAGATGTTCTCTTGAGAGTTCTAGGTGTCCTGAGAACTGCTATTTTCATTGTACTACTTAATTTTTCTTATTATTCTTTCTTCTTTGAAAATCATCTTAACCAATATCAAAGAGATAAGGATAAATTAGCACGATACTTTAAGAGTCCATGCTAAAGCCGATGCTTATTTAGAATTTTAAGAGGAACTTGAGTCTAAAAATGCCAAATTTTGAAGTAAATCTATTCCGTCAAAAATCACATATATAGTGTCTAAAACTGCAATAGCTAACTTCAAAATAAAATGAGTAAATGTGTCCTTCTCTCTATTCCTATTTAATATACCTTTGATATCCTTAAAGTTCCTAATAAATCTAAACAACCTTAAGTATTGGCGTGCATTTAAAATGCTTTCTATTAATACTATTTAAAGAGTTTAATTTTACAGATCACTGTAGTATATCTATCAAAGTCCCCAGGCTATTCCATAAGAGTAGTTAAATGCCAGCGCCAATATATAAATGTATATTGCAGTAGCTTCAGAAATCTCTCTCTATAATCTTTATAAGTAAAGTCAATGTATTTTACCTGATCTGTTGAGTAAATTAACAATGTTTCCCATTTTATGCGTTTGCAATTTTGCCTTAAATAATAATTTAATTTTCATTAATATTCATTTAATTTAGGAGCGATGGGGTTTTGGGGTTTTGGGGTTTTGGGG